CACATGTTCTTAAAGAGAGATGCTCTCTTTGGTGGGATTTTAAGGAAATTTTTTTTTGGAGATTTTACCAGACAATTTAACAATTGATTCGAAAGTGTACTGCCATCGAGTAAACAAATTGAGTAATATCATCAAACAGAAAAGGCAGCCAGACTTGATCAAAACAGGTGTAGTGTTTTACCACGATAATGTCAAATTTCACACAAGTTTGGTAACTGGTCAGAAACTGTTATAACTTAGACGGAGGTGTTTTCACACCAACCATATTCGCCAGATCGAGCACACTCAGATTATTACTTGTTCCGGTCTATACAAATTTTTTTTTAACTGTAAGACATTTACTTGAAATGACAATGTCAAAAATCACTTGGATCGGTTTTTTGTAAGCAGCGATCAAAACTTTTATGAATGTGAAATCATGCTACTACCAGAAACAATGACAACAGGTATTTTGACCAAAATGGTTGATATATAATTCAATAAAATATTTATTTATTATAAAAATATTGTTTTTTTTTCCACAAAAAAAAGCGAACTTACTTTCTGAACAACCCAATATTATGTTTTGGATGCATTTTTGAAGCATTAATTATAAAAGTTTATAAAAATTGCAAACAATAGTAAAAAATGTCATTACACCAACATTACCAACTTCAACTCCATCTCATAAGCAGTAACAGAACATCAGAATTCTCACAAAAACAAAAAATGATGATATACAATAGATATAAATTCACATTAATTATTTACTAAAATTTATTATTTATACTGGCCAAAGACTGACCCCATGATTGAAAGAAAACTATAGAATCTGTGCAAAACTCTAAGTGTATAGTCAAATTGTTTAAGTAGGTGAAAGTGAGCTCCTGTACCTTTTTCTCTGGTATTTTTATGACCAGATATTGGTTTGACAGAGGATTAAATAAATTTCAAAGCTAAGTGAGGCAGCCATAGGGAGGGAAAATCCATTGAGATATAGCCTACAATATTCTGCATATTAGACAGGCGCGCACACTTATTATATAAATAATTCCAATTTCTTATTTTGTTTAAAAGTGAAAAAATTATTAGGCCAATATAAAATTCCAAAACAACCATTAAAATTTGTTTCTTCTACATACACAATTTTATGAAAAATAAATTAACTTTTTACGTAGGCTGTTTTTTTTTTCAAGCTCCGATGGTCCATAAAAAAAAAAGACAATTGTAAATAACATAATGAATTTATTACCAAAAGTTAGGTACAAACATGGTTACTTTTTGACATAGTCACTGTGAAGATTGAGGCATTTATCATATCTGTGGATGAGTTTTTCCATCCCCTTGTCATAGAATGTTGCCGCCAATAACTTGATATGAGCCCTAACGTTTTTTTGAAGATCGTCGTTAGTCTCAAACCTCTGCCTTCCTAGCCACTTTTCCTTTTCGGGAAAGAGGTGGAAATCGCTCGGTGCTAAATCAGGGCTGTACGCTGGGTGTTTAAAGGTGGTGAAGACTTCCACCTTTCAGACTTCCACCCAGCTTAAAACTTTTTAATGTGTGAAGACTTCATCTCTTTCCTGAACTGAAAACGTGCCTAGCAGGGCAGAGGTTTGAAACTAATGAACTAATGATGATCTCCAAAAAAAACAACATTGTTTAGGCCATCTCAATTCACTGGCAGCAACATTCTATGACAAGGGGATGGAAAAACTCATCCAGAGATATATATGATAAATGTCTCAATCTTCACAGTGATTATGTTGAAAGGTAACCATGTTTGTACCTAACTTTTGGTAATAAATTCATTTTGTTATTTACACTTGTCTTTTTTTGAGGACCATCAGAGCTTGAAAAAAGAACAGACCTCGTATATCTAATAATTTATCATCATACTAATTTGAATTCATGCATATAATAATACTTATTTTTATATATTAATTTAATCTCTTAATTTTATTCAGAACTATATACAGTACTGAAATCATCAAAATTTTTAATCATAATTAACTTTCATGCTATTTTTAAGTGCTTATCCTGAACTGTCCTGAAAATGTCAGAATAAAATTGCTGATTACTACTGTTTCCATTCAACGTTTAATCTGTCATATAAACTGATTATAATATCAATACACTTCATTAAGTAAGATTAAATTAAATAGATATTATATAAAGATTCATAGAAGATTCATAGTAAGTACAGTAATACCCCGAACTTATGCGATAGGTGGGACCGAGAGATAACTGCGTAAGTCGAAGTCGTGTAAGTTCGCAATTTGTGTAAAATCCAAGTCGGATGTATGTAAGCTAATAAATGTTCTCGTTAGTCTTATCTCGTGTTTTGATTTGTTCACGGTTACAAGAAATCACCACATAGTCTTTTAAGTCTCCGTAGATATAACAAACACAGAAATAAATAACACAAAATAAATTGTAGCTATGTGTCGAATTCTGCGCGACACATCCGAACATGTAAGCTGAACAATAGTGTGGGGGGAGTGAGTAATCAATAGTTGCATGGCGCTCAAACAAAAGACGAATCTACGAGATTTGAAAATCACATAACTCCGAGTTCGCGTAAGTCAGGGTAGCATAACTCGAGGTATTACTGTAGTCTTATGGAATAACAAGCAAAACTTAATATTAAAATTAATGAGATTCTGTTTTATAGGGTGATAAAGTGAGAAGTGATATATATATCACATATATATATCTGTGTGTGTGTAAGCAAGAAACAGTGAATAGAACTTCTAGGCAGGCTTTTAAAATTTAAAACCTTCCTCTATCCATCCAGTGATGTGTAGACTATGTTTCCATCCCTTACAGCCAGGGATGGGCTGCCCGCGGCCCGCAGTAATATTTTTTGTGGCCAGCGTAAAATATGAATAAATATATCAATTTCTCAGCTTAAGGAAGTATGCAGCACAAATTCAAATGTTATTTTCTACAACTTATGTATGTAAATAATTTTCCACAATGAATTTAGTAAAAATTAAAACAAAAAACCAACTAACAGAAACATCAACACTAATTTAAAGCTAGCAGTGACTAATATTTAATGAAATATTTCCAATATATTCCATTTATGCCAATTCCAGAAGCTAAATTAAGTATACCTATGCTAATTTATAATTATATATGAATAAATAATTGTGATTTACCAACATTTTTTTCCCTCTTTTCTCTTTTATGCAGCCCACGTCAGTTCAAAGGTTTTGAAATGCGTCCCTTACATAGAAAAAGGTTGAAATAAAAATCCAAAATACTGTTCCATCTTTCTAATAACCCTGTATAGTTTCAATAGGAAATAATAAGTTCAATTGTCTTACTCAATCTACAATTTCTGTAATTTCCAATCAGGCAGGAGGATCTAGTCATTGGTTCCAATCAGGCAAGATCCAATCAATCACTGGTCTTACAAGGGAAGGTTATGATATAGTCCTTATAATTTCACTAAAACCATTTGTATGGATAAATCTTAGTATAAACCTTTATTGAGCAAAAAGTGTACTTCTCAAATGTTTTCAAGATCAGTTTAAATTTCCAAGAAACCTAGAGCAAGTTTTGAAGAATCTTTCACTAAAAACTGCTTGGCTCGACAGTGCGGTTCTAACTTATTTTTATGAGATCTCTAGTTTGAGTCTATACAAGCGAACATTTTTAAATCAATGTGATTTTTACATAAAATAATTGTAAATCGCTTATTACATCAATTAGAAAATTTGAAGAATGCACTGAAAATTCTCACACAGAGTGCTGGTAAGGCTGGAGAAGAATTGGTCATCTCCAGCCTTACCAGCTGGAGATGTTTGACATGATTCTCAGGATAGAAATACAATTATTAATATACAAGAATTATGAAAGTCATTTACAAATTTTACAGATAAAATATAAACTAATGCATAATTTTTCTTTAAAAAAGCAAATTAATACTTAATATAATCCTAAGATATCTTCAATAATTAACTAGCCAAGTAAAATCGACTCAACTAGTAAGAAAATAATCCATTGGAATTGTCTAAATCACATTCACATTTACATTTAGTTCAATCAGTTTGTGAATGATCATTCACAGAAAATATGTTAATGTTTTCAATTAATTAATTATTTTCTTTCTAATAAAGATTCTGTTTGACAGATTTGTAAAAGGAATTGAATGAAAGGAAAACATAATAAATAATTGATAAGTTAGAGAGAGGAATGAAAAAGACTGGATGTATTTTATAGAGTATATTTTCCATATTTTTTCTTTTATTCTTTAAATCTAAAGTATATTTTAATAATTTTCATACCTGAATATATTTTATTAATATTAAAATTTGAACAATAATTATAGAATTCTCAATGACACGTACAGTAATAAATAACAATAATTTCCACTTTTTTTTTTTACTTTCAAAGCTCTCTAAATCTGTAGACACATATTTAATTTTAACAATTTGTTACTGGGAATAATAATAATATTATAAAGCACTTGAAAAGGTGCAATAAATAAGGTTCAGGGCCATAAAGTTCAGCTTTACCTACCCCTTATTGCATGAAAGGTTTGCTTCAGTATGTAAGCTGCTTTTCATTAGCTCTGCATATAAATGATTCTTATGCACACATTTGTATACATGAATTAACGGTAAAGATTGAATGCACTCTATGAAGGAAAGAAACTGAAAATTAGTAATGTTCTGTAATGAAAGATATTGTGATTTTATTATTATATTTTTGGGAAAGTAAACACATGTGAATGTTTTGTGTACACTGTATGCTGAATTAAAGGCCTCTATGGGTCCATGAATTCTAATTTTGGAAATGCTAATAAATATACTACTGTTATGGAATTTTTATTTTTCCTAATCAGTATTCTCTAATTATCTTATAGATAAAGTATATATTATTGCTATTTCGAAAGGTAGAAATATAATTCTAATCAAACTAGATTCATTGAATATTAGAAGACAGATATACAAGTGAACGACAGATTTTTAAGTGTTGTTTATTTTAAAACATGTTTTTTTTTTTTTTTTCAGAGGAATTACCTTATTTGGAAGTACCTCTTCACACAGTTTTTAAATTAACACCAGTGGCATATGGATGCGATTTGGAAGATTTTAAAGTGCCTATTGAAGCCGTTGACACTCATCGTCCAAAACCCGAAGTAGATATCCTCTTTTTCATCTTTCTTTTCAAATATAAAGAAAAAATTATGAACTGTTGTTTTGTTTTTAGATTCCAGGATTTTTAGAAGAAAAATTCCGTTTTAAATCAGCAAACATTATCGAAGATCCTTGAAAATCTGCTGAGACGATTTGGAGTATTTTTATATTTGTATAGCCAAGCTGAAATTTTGCAGAACCAAAGATATTTTTATCCCAGATTGTATTTTTTGTAATTATGTCATTCCAAAATGTTTAAATGTTTTCATTCCAAATTTGATTTTGATGATGATGATGATGATTTGTTATATACCAATGCATTTTTTCCCTCTCCCTTTTAAGAAAAATAAATATTTTTGTTTTAATCATGTTCAATAAGATTTGAATGAACAAACTACATATAATAAAAAGGCACATCAGCATGGTTCAGAAAATTTTTTATTAAAAATAGAAAAGGCAAGTAAAAAGTAACTGAAAAATAACTTTTCTACTGTTTTTATTAATAGTATTATATAAATTTTTCTACTCAATTTAGGTCACAAAAATAGAAACTTTTAAGAATTTATAGATCTTATACAGGATGTTAGCAAACATCTCTGGCTGAATTTTTTTAAATAATTGACTAGGGAATCTGCCAGATTATATCCAGCTATAACATGGCTACTATTTAATTATTAATAATCTGGTAATCATTTTGCCGTAATCAAAAATCAGTTGTTTATATTTATTTCAAAAATTAGTAAGGCATCACTGTAGACCCAACCTTTTTCTTATATTTTAAGAAAAACTTTTTCCGTCATTGACTCTTTTCAATATTATACAGACACACAAGCACAAATACCTGATCTATTTTAATCAATCCGCTGAAATAAATCAGAAAATATGCATCCTACTAAATGAAAATGCTAACTTAGAAAACCCCGTGAAGTCTATTGATTTCATCATAATGGTTTCATTTTCACAAATTGCAGTGTTAACTTCATTTTCTTAAATGGGAACCCTCATTTTTTATTGCATACAAATACGAGTCACTTAGATTTTACAAATACGTGAGCCGTTCACAGCCCGGTACACATATTTGTAAAATCTAAGTGACTCATACAACACGGAATTATCTTCCGTATTATGGGGGGTCTACTGTATTCTGCATCAAAAATAAATTTTTATCTAAAACTTTTTTTTACAAATAATGAACTTTAACACACTGTGGCACTAGTTTTTGTATAAGCCATCAAGTGTGTGATAAAGAGGAAATATTGACTTTGATTCCACCAAATAATAGTTTTCTAGTAATTTTTTAACCATTTTTCTTCCTTTTTTTTTTCAGCAACCTTCATAGATATCTATAGATTCACGTGTGCCCCATACGGCGACCACCTAAGACTTTAAAAGCTCATAACTTCTGGTAAGTGCAACTTTAAAAAAATGTTTTTGACATAGAATTGTATATGTGCAATAAATAAATAAGGGTTTCCTTTTAAGAATGTGGAATTGACCTCATTTTCACCACTTGTAGCACCTTCTATTATAAAACTTGATAGGCTTTAAAGGGACACAAGATGGGACTAACATTTTTGGTTTTTTGAATTATTTCAGTGGTTTGATTAAAATAGACCACCTTGTACATATACAACAGACCTTTTTACATAATTTTTTACACTCAATTAAATTTAGGAAGATGGCTTTTAAAAATTATGTTTAATGTTTTTAATAGATAAAAAATTTATTAAAAAATATTAAGAAAAATTATTATTAACTTTTTGTATTTACCAAATTCAGGTATTGAACTTCTTAAAAATATTAAATTTTGATAAAACTTTGTAGTTATCTTTTTCACTTTCATCTTGGATAAAAAGTTGAGAATGTTAAAATAATCGTAAACTGGTATTAAAAGACTTTAAAATCATTACTTTATGTTGTTTTATTTTTCTCATAAAAGCGTTATGATCTTCCGATTCTCATCAGTATGTTATTACACATCATAGGACAGTTTTGTCTATAAACAATANTAACTAGCCAAGTAAAATCGACTCAACTAGTAAGAAAATAATCCATTGGAATTGTCTAAATCACATTCACATTTACATTTAGTTCAATCAGTTTGTGAATGATCATTCACAGAAAATATGTTAATGTTTTCAATTAATTAATTATTTTCTTTCTAATAAAGATTCTGTTTGACAGATTTGTAAAAGGAATTGAATGAAAGGAAAACATAATAAATAATTGATAAGTTAGAGAGAGGAATGAAAAAGACTGGATGTATTTTATAGAGTATATTTTCCATATTTTTTCTTTTATTCTTTAAATCTAAAGTATATTTTAATAATTTTCATACCTGAATATATTTTATTAATATTAAAATTTGAACAATAATTATAGAATTCTCAATGACACGTACAGTAATAAATAACAATAATTTCCACTTTTTTTTTTACTTTCAAAGCTCTCTAAATCTGTAGACACATATTTAATTTTAACAATTTGTTACTGGGAATAATAATAATATTATAAAGCACTTGAAAAGGTGCAATAAATAAGGTTCAGGGCCATAAAGTTCAGCTTTACCTACCCCTTATTGCATGAAAGGTTTGCTTCAGTATGTAAGCTGCTTTTCATTAGCTCTGCATATAAATGATTCTTATGCACACATTTGTATACATGAATTAACGGTAAAGATTGAATGCACTCTATGAAGGAAAGAAACTGAAAATTAGTAATGTTCTGTAATGAAAGATATTGTGATTTTATTATTATATTTTTGGGAAAGTAAACACATGTGAATGTTTTGTGTACACTGTATGCTGAATTAAAGGCCTCTATGGGTCCATGAATTCTAATTTTGGAAATGCTAATAAATATACTACTGTTATGGAATTTTTATTTTTCCTAATCAGTATTCTCTAATTATCTTATAGATAAAGTATATATTATTGCTATTTCGAAAGGTAGAAATATAATTCTAATCAAACTAGATTCATTGAATATTAGAAGACAGATATACAAGTGAACGACAGATTTTTAAGTGTTGTTTATTTTAAAACATGTTTTTTTTTTTTTTTTCAGAGGAATTACCTTATTTGGAAGTACCTCTTCACACAGTTTTTAAATTAACACCAGTGGCATATGGATGCGATTTGGAAGATTTTAAAGTGCCTATTGAAGCCGTTGACACTCATCGTCCAAAACCCGAAGTAGATATCCTCTTTTTCATCTTTCTTTTCAAATATAAAGAAAAAATTATGAACTGTTGTTTTGTTTTTAGATTCCAGGATTTTTAGAAGAAAAATTCCGTTTTAAATCAGCAAACATTATCGAAGATCCTTGAAAATCTGCTGAGACGATTTGGAGTATTTTTATATTTGTATAGCCAAGCTGAAATTTTGCAGAACCAAAGATATTTTTATCCCAGATTGTATTTTTTGTAATTATGTCATTCCAAAATGTTTAAATGTTTTCATTCCAAATTTGATTTTGATGATGATGATTTGTTATATACCAATGCATTTTTTCCCTCTCCCTTTTAAGAAAAATAAATATTTTTGTTTTAATCATGTTCAATAAGATTTGAATGAACAAACTACATATAATAAAAAGGCACATCAGCATGGTTCAGAAAATTTTTTATTAAAAATAGAAAAGGCAAGTAAAAAGTAACTGAAAAATAACTTTTCTACTGTTTTTATTAATAGTATTATATAAATTTTTCTACTCAATTTAGGTCACAAAAATAGAAACTTTTAAGAATTTATAGATCTTATACAGGATGTTAGCAAACATCTCTGGCTGAATTTTTTTAAATAATTGACTAGGGAATCTGCCAGATTATATCCAGCTATAACATGGCTACTATTTAATTATTAATAATCTGGTAATCATTTTGCCGTAATCAAAAATCAGTTGTTTATATTTATTTCAAAAATTAGTAAGGCATCACTGTAGACCCAACCTTTTTCTTATATTTTAAGAAAAATTTTTTCCGTCATTGACTCTTTTCAATATTATACAGACACACAAGCACAAATACCTGATCTATTTTAATCAATCCGCTGAAATAAATCAGAAAATATGCATCCTACTAAATGAAAATGCTAACTTAGAAAACCCCGTGAAGTCTATTGATTTCATCATAATGGTTTCATTTTCACAAATTGCAGTGTTAACTTCATTTTCTTAAATGGGAACCCTCATTTTTTATTGCATACAAATACGAGTCACTTAGATTTTACAAATACGTGAGCCGTTCACAGCCCGGTACACATATTTGTAAAATCTAAGTGACTCATACAACACGGAATTATCTTCCGTATTATGGGGGGTCTACTGTATTCTGCATCAAAAATTAATTTTTATCTAAAACTTTTTTTTACAAATAATGAACTTTAACACACTGTGGCACTAGTTTTTGTATAAGCCATCAAGTGTGTGATAAAGAGGAAATATTGACTTTGATTCCACCAAATAATAGTTTTCTAGTAATTTTTTAACCATTTTTCTTCCTTTTTTTTTTCAGCAACCTTCATAGATATCTATAGATTCACGTGTGCCCCATACGGCGACCACCTAAGACTTTAAAAGCTCATAACTTCTGGTAAGTGCAACTTTAAAAAAATGTTTTTGACATAGAATTGTATATGTGCAATAAATAAATAAGGGTTTCCTTTTAAGAATGTGGAATTGACCTCATTTTCACCACTTGTAGCACCTTCTATTATAAAACTTGATAGGCTTTAAAGGGACACAAGATGGGACTAACATTTTTGGTTTTTTGAATTATTTCAGTGGTTTGATTAAAATAGACCACCTTGTACATATACAACAGACCTTTTTACATAATTTTTTACACTCAATTAAATTTAGGAAGATGGCTTTTAAAAATTATGTTTAATGTTTTTAATAGATAAAAAATTTATTAAAACCAACAAGATTTGAAACACCAACTTCATGATTATGATGCTACCAGCCACTCTACAAATAATAGAAATTCTAAAGGTTTTAAGTTTAAGTGATTTGCAATTTTCAACCTCAATTTTCTTGTTTAATTTTGAGTACTGCTCCTTATGCTTGGCACACATCAGTCGTTGGGGTGCACTATAACCTTGTTGACCCCGATGTCATGCTATCTCTTTGGATTGAATGAAAAAAGTAAAGTTTACCTATAATAAATGTGGTTTAATTAATTAATTGATTGTAAAATTTAACATCTGTTTAAATCAATCATATCAGGTATATTATGCTTTGAGTTTAGGAAAATGTTTATACAATGCCATACAAACATTAAAATGTGATTTGAAATTTTTCAAATGGAACTTTTTAAACTAAAGGATACAAAACATATGAGGCATCCCAAAAGCTGTCGACAACGAAAAATTGCAGGAAATTTGTCAATTGTTAACAAACACCAAAAATATTAAGAGAAACAGCACAATGCAAGCTCATTTTATCACTTATAAGATACCACTCGTGTATCAAAGTTTTGACCAAGTTATTAAAAGTTATTTTTCAAAGTGTTTCTTTCTGCAAATCAAAATTTATTGCAACAAACTAAATGCTATTTACATAACCATATTAGTAATAAAAAGAATTTTATTCTGAAGTCACAATCATTATTCCAGTTGTATATACAAAAATATCCAATTGTCACTGGCAATATTGTCGGGGCTGTGGTAATTTTTGACATTCAAAAGAGGGCTTTCATAAAGATTGATTTTTATCGACGCCGATGTAATTCGAAATTTACAATTTAAGTGTTTTTTCAACAGCTACAATACCTTCCTGTTTTAGCCTTCTTAACATGGGTTTGTATATGTCTTGTGTCATGGGCACTTGCATTCCTTTCTTTTGAATTTCTCCTAATAATAAAAACAATGCCATTAACAAAGAATGCAGATATTCTAATTATTTCATGGGATCAAAATAGATATCTACCTTCCAACACCATTTTGGTTGCTATGGCGGTGGGATAACCAACAGTTTTTGCCATGGCCGAATATCCGCCGACGTCTCCATACACGACGAGGTTGATCTGTCTCAGTTCCTAAAGTAATAATGCAATTAAAGAAAGCAATTTCAAATCGATACAGACGACAATACAAACCTTTTTACTATCTGGCCACTGGATTTCTACATTGTGCCTCAAGATAATACAATCTCTTTCGTTGGGTTCTGAAAAGTAATATCAATCATGAGCTAAAGCAAGAATGGGCAACTTTTTGTTACATCAAATAAAGAAAATGAAATTATGCATACGATAAGCAAGTTTATTGCTTAAGAAATGCGTCAATGTATCCAAAGGAGTCGATAATTTTACCAATGGTTCTTCTTCCAAGAGACCTAATCTGAAAACGATAAATACGATCAGACAACATATGAAAACTTAATCCTAACGTATGTAAAAATCTTACTTTTCTATGGCTTCCACTTGGTACTCAGATTTATTCAATTGTTCGAACAGAAGGTTTTTCAGATTTGAAGTGAGAATGTTATCTTGCTGACCGAGCAGAGTACACATGAATTGTTTCTACGATCATTTAATACACATTTGTAAGTATTTAATTGTAAAACAACAGAGATTAAAGAAAAATTCCATCTCACCCACGTAATTTCAGGACCTCTGGGATGCAGGCAGGGATGGGGCTCATTATTTATTAATCCTATTTTTAGAAGTCCTTTGATTACCTCACAATATCCCTTGAAATGAGAAATATAATATTGAGTAACACTAATTTAGTAAAAAGTATAAAATTTTTGTGTTTTTTAATGGAATGATGATGTCTTATTTTGAAATTTATTATATTTTAAACCATGATTTATAGACCAGTGCCAGTCTGTAATAAGATTTCACTTGGTACATATTAAAACTGTTATAACTTTACTATGCTTAAAGCTTTGATTATTCTAGAGTATTTGACAAAAAAACCATTTGTCAAGCCCAAGAAAGGGAAATTGTCCAAAACTACACACTGCCAACTTAGATGTTAACCAATATCATGCATTCTGGAACACTCCTCCTAGTCACATTGTTTGCATCCCATTTCAGAATATTGTAAAGGTTATAATTTTATTTCTAATTCTAATGTCATTCGATTGTGCATATGTGCATGCATCAATTATCGGGACCATGGCACCTAACAACTCGAATGCTCCGATATGGAGCTGTTTGGCTGCAGATCGAACAGACGGTAAATTCTAAATTCCACAGAAGTCAAGTTATGGATATTGCTTAATATTTTATTAAATTTTATGTCTATTGTTGACTGCTATAAGGCTAAATAGATGTGAATTCCAAATTCTAGATATTTTCATAACTTAAACTTTCAACTGTTATTTATCATATAACATGCAAGTTTATTGTGATTAAAATCTGTCAAAATATAGTATTTATTTAAGAACAAATTCCTTATTAAGTCTGACTCAATATGAAAATGAAGTTTCCAATTAATTAACAAGATTTTGGGAAGATTTTTAGTATAAAATATTTACCCTATATCGAAGAGTTCCCCTCAGGACTGTGTGAGCGTTATTAATACCATATATATCTTTATAAACTGTCGAATCTCTGTTTGGAAAACCTTCCAGGTTGAATCCCGGCAAAAAGTTTATGTCTTTAACAGAATCCATCAGTGCACCGCCGGCAGAAATCTCTACTAACTGTTTTAAAATGAAATCCAAAATTAATAAATTATCACAAAAATCAAGAACCGACTCAAAGTCTCGATGTACCTGGTCGTCTTTAATATATCTTGCCAATGACAGTGTGTTCATCAGAACACCTTTTGGATTCCAGCTGTGAGAGAAAAATGTAATTTTGCTAAATATAATAAATTATTTCAAATTACAAATTGCACTTACCTAAATTTGTATCTGAGAGGATTGTCGGAATTCTCGGGTGCAGGAAGTCCACCACAGTATGACTCAAAAGAAGTTACCTGCAGAACATACCAAAACTCATTCTAAGAGAATCTCATTTAAATTAATTATCATTTATTTAAATTAATGACGACAAAAGCACAAATGGATTATTTAATGTTAAAATTTAAAAAAAAACAAATTTATTTTAATAAAAGAGTATGTGTTTCAATAGCATTTTGCATATCAAATATCTTCAAGCTTGTGCTATAAATTTAAGAAACAGTGAAATTGCTTGTATTAAAGGACAGATTTGTTTTGAAAAACGGTTTAAAACAAGGTTGTAAAAAACTTTGTCTCAAAAGGGATTCTTTTAACATGGTCTAGTAGCCCTAAAATAAAAAATTTGCATGTTCTTGGATGCAGAAACGAGGAGAGGATATTGTTTTTATATACAATGCCTCGTAAAACAAATTTTCTTAATACAAAATTCCTGTGTGAGGGTTGATAGATAAGGTCTCAATTTTTTAATGAAATTATTCTACTTCTTTCCAAACTGATGTGACCAGTTTAAAATAAATGATTTTATCACTATTTTAATCATATATATTCAGGTTTTCAACACAATTGCTATTTAGAGTGATGCTATTTTTCCATGTTTGATCTGTTTTTGAATTCTCTACACCAACAGTGGCGACCCCTTTTTATATAAGCCAAGTGACTCGCGACCCTGATACTATTGAAAAAGACATTTTTAATAAGGTAATTATACTAAAAAACTAATTTCGTTGTTTTTTTTAATTTTAGTTTAAATTATGTCTAATAATTTAATGTGATAGTTGAAATTGTATGTTATTAACCAGCCTTAAAATTTGCAGGCAAGTTTTTGTTAGCGCCAACCTCATGTCATTCTCAACATTTAATTTATTCCTCTCAAACTCTCAACACATGATTCAACCAACTGTGACGGAATAGCGTACCTAGATTACACTTATTTTAATTTTTAAAAAATACAGTCGACCCCCCTATAACACGGTAGATACATTCCGTTTTTTATGAAATTGATGTTTTAGGAGACCTTGCCAATCACAGCCCAACACGTGTGAAGTTTATGGACTAAGGCTGTTTGAAAGGTTTTCTTTCATAAGATTAATCGATTCCTAGACTAATTCGACTCAACATTTCCAAAATACGTATATTTTTTTGGGAATAATCTGTATAAACTATGCTATAAACAAAAAATTGTAGGATTACTTACCCCNGAAAGCCCGTCGCGACCCATAGGTTGGGAACCCGTGGTCTAGATAGTATTTCCATGCATTTGGTACATGAATGGCATCCATGTTGATGCAGGCTCCACTCTTGTCTGCCCTGTAGATCTCTACAGCTTCTAATGTTTTGCCAGTCAAAGGCCCTGTGCATTAGCATAGCTTGGACCCAACGGGGAAATCCGCAGATCACTGGCGTACCATGCCATGTATTAAAACATTAGAAAGTTAGAAGCTGTAGAGATCTACAGGGTGGACAAAAGTGGAGCCAGCATCAACACAGATGTCATTCATGTACCAAATGCATGGAAATACTATCTAGACCAGGCATGGCCAACAAAAGATCCGTGGGCCGGATCTGGTCCATCTAATGAATTTATGTGGCCCCCAATCAATCCTTCAATATTAGCTACTCAAGTCCGAATAGTCCGATGAAAAATTCTGACACCTAAAAGAAAAAACAACTCACTGTGCATTTAGAATTAACTCTCCGTTACAAATCTTGTAAGCACAGCATAAAATGTTGATAAAGCACGATAATGTGAAAAATGTATCTGTAATCTCTATGTACAATTTAGTCTCTACGGGGTGACACCACAATGAGATCTCGCACCACCTCAAAATCTTCCTAGGGCAGCCTCTGGTTCGGCCCGTGGAAAAAATTTTCTTTCCAATTCGGCCTGGGGCAAAACTGTTGGCCACCCCTGATCTAGACTTAAACTATGCATTGTATAAGGATGTGTCACAGCCTGTATTCAAGCGTATTTAAAACTTTTAAGCTTAGAATGCAATGGCATTCTATTTATAGAACAGTTTTTCCATTTTACTGTTTGTGATGAGGGCTGATAAAGTAGTGGCCAAACGTTAGAGAACTGAATTTCTTCGCTGGAAATATTGAATTGAGGTGTAATTCTTATCTTTTTCTTCAGGATGCTAGACTGGCATGGAGCATTCTGGTAGTGGCACCTATATATAATAAATTTGACCCAGTTAGTGGATTTTGTAAGATAAAGTATAAACTCCAGACTTTTCAACAAGCATAACTATGTCTCTATCATTGCAAAGTATTCTATGCAATGTGGGCTGGGGAGCTAGTGGTAGTATATACCCAAATTTTCTAAAGGCTCGGGATATATGTAAAGAAGAGAGGCCTAGGTACAGGATGGCTGAGAACAGATGGTTCTTTCTTATGAAATAAAGCATTTTTTACCTGATTGATCAAATAATTAAACTAAGTGAGGAATATCCAGCCCTGCACACTGCTAATTTAATGTAGACAAGCTCTTTATCCACAAGCAGTTGGGAGAATGGATACAAAAAAGCCCTATGTATAAGCACTGTAATGGCCAAATTTTTGTACCTGGTGGGCTGGAAGGCAGTGGAAGGGATAATGTAAGGTGGTTCAAGAAATTTGCAAAAAACAAAAAAGTAAAATCCAATGGGCATTCCAAATACAAGTAAATCCAAGAAAGAGATCTTTTTCTTTCTCTTTAGTAAATGAGAAGGTTGAGAAAATGGCTGACAAGAATTTTTAAATTTATTTACTTGCCCTCCAAGCCATCCCACGCTAGCAGCACTTCATCCACATACCACAGATATGGAAGGGGGTACGTATATAAAGCAAGGATCGAAACAATGAATTCTATGGCTCTCATAATTAATTCAGTTAAAATAGCCAAAAGAGGCAAGCCCATAAGAACTCCATATATCTGCAAATAAAAACTACTACAGTATTTCTGTTTCAATGGTAATTTTCAGTAACTAATGATTAAATGTAGTTATTACTGTATTTACCAGTAATGCCAATAGATAGTTTTTATATTTTCATTTATTTTTAGTGAGTGGATCACTTGTTTTTATCTCATTATTTAATTATTCTTTTAAAATATTTTTCAAAACTTTAAAAATTCACATTTTCTTTTGTGTATTTGACAATTACTACTACTAATTTAGAAAATTATACAGAAATGAATCTATTCTAAAGATTTCAAGTTTTGTCCAATCAGACACTGATCAAGAATGTATTCTTTTTTTCCAACTGTGTTGCAAAAGCATATACAAAATTCATTTTGCAACATTCAAATACATTTAAATTATTTTGATAATTCCAAATACTTGTAAACTTTTACATAATAATAATCAGCTCATTTAATTATACCTTCATTGATATAAGATTATCTTATATCAATATAATTAGAATAGCTGATTTATATTCATATCTATAATGTTCACTTGTTCATTCTTTACACACTTTGAAACAGTTTAAGCAAATGCAATGAAACTTTTCTGGGACCACTCTCTCATTCAGGTGGTGGTAAATAACTATTTTTGCTCAAATTAACTTCAATCCTCCCCTTCTATTTGACCATCAGGATGATGGCATTCAAATAGGAAAATTAAATAATAATACAAAGTTACCAGAGAGAACAATGTTTTTAGAGGTTTTGAGGGTGCTAAATTACATATTTAGTCTTTTTTTTTTTTTATACAAAAATTGGTTGGTTGGTTGATTAGTTCATATTCAACTGTAAATTGTACCAATGCTGGCACAAATCTTTGGTTAGTCAAAATCTGTTAGTTTATTTTTAGTTTCTTTTTCAAAGTAGATTTTTCTCATTTTTATTCAGTTTTGTTACATTCTCTTATTTTATTTCACACTTCATGATAAGCATAACAGTGGTAGGCTAAAGTAACCAACCTCTTAATATGATTTTCATTTTAACGTTGCTACTTTTTGCCTGGGCAACACTGCACATATCTGCTAGTATAATAATAATGATCTCCAGCTTTATGTAAACCATTTTTTTATTGGTAGAACATACATTTCTATTGAATTTTAGCAATTTAAAATTTTTCTTAGAATAATCTGTTAACTGTGCCATTTTTATTTTTGTCATTATCATTTGTTAAAATCAGTAATTTTTTCAAAAACTAGATGGCAAGCATAAAATTATTTATCTTGTTATTTGATAAGTCTTAACACAAAGAATTGCATTTTGCAGCGTACTTTAGTTGCTTTTAAACAGACATAGTATCAGAAGTAAGTGACTTTCATGAATGTAAATCAAAACTATTATAACATTATATCTCAAATACAACATTGACAAAATTTACTCAATAATGTTATCCACAATATAAGACATTTTCCATCACAATTATATATATTGAACAAATTGCATATAGCTAGTACATATAGCTATTACATTGAGTATATAGTATATATAGCTATTACATGAGCAAATTGCATATAGCAAATTGCATATAGCTATTACATTGCTGCAATAGCAGGAACTTGAAAGTTTGCATTTTGGATTAGGAATAACCATTCAAATTATTTGATGATGACAAAGTCTTCACAAAAAAGTAAATAAATAAAAGAATTTTTATAGTTCAATAAAACTTATACAATTTTAAGTAAAATCAAATTTTTTCACTTCTATCAGTTTGTGCTCATCATTAAACTGAAAAATAGATTCTGTAATGATAAGAAAAATACAACCTGAACAACTGATGAATTGTTATTCTCCCATCATTGTTGACCAGCTTATAGCTTAAAAGTATACTCGCCTTATATGACCAATACATTCCATTTTTGTGTAAATGGAAATTCATATATAAAATAGTAAACCCTATTAATAATTAAACATTTCCTGTATTAGCATACATACACATTTTTTAAATAAAATAAGGAAAATAAAGATTATTAATAGTAAATCATAAAAATAACTTTGAAAAATTTTCAGAAGCAGATTTTTCTCACAAAAAGTAAAATTTTAATTTTTTCCTCTAAAGTAGGTAATTTATGGTTTTGGCTTGTCAGTGCTACCAGCATCACTACCTTGCATTCTGAGCCATGTTTGCAAAGAAATTAGCATAAATAAAATAATCCAACTACTAACAGATTATATTGATATAATTGGTAGTTGTTGGTTTATTAGATATATACATCAGATTTGTGGATGCTGGTTTATATAGTTTATGTAACATAAATGAAATGTAATGTATTACAAGTAAGAACTCCAAAGACAGATG